TCAAGGCCTTCCCCCCCCGCCTCCCTTCAGACCAGGGAGACGGGGAGCAGCTTTCCCCCCCCCGGAGGACGGGGGCTGCGGACCGCGGCGCATCTGGGCACCCCGCCGCTCCCGTCCTCCGGGGCGCGAAAAACCCTGTTCGTAACTGCGGATCTGACATAAGTCAGATCCGCGTAACTCGGGGACTGCCTGTACTCCCCCTGCAGGGGAATACATTTCAGTGATGCCCAACCCTTAGACTCACTTCCATGCATTTATAAGCTCCCCGGGGAAGAGGAAAGGTGTTATTTAAGTGCACATCCTAATAGAAAACAAAACAAGGTGGCCTGAGACTGAGTGAATCATGGAAATATCGCTAGCTACTTAGCAAATCAACAACCTGATCCCTTTTCTTCCTCATGTCCTGTGCTCTGCTGCTCAGGGGCATTCTGTTCACAGCTTCCCCTCGTTAGGAGATGCGCGTGACTGGGTATATGTGCACTCTCGATAATGCTCTGGGACAGATGGAAAATTAGCCACACCATTAAAAAAAACAAACAACTCTTTTGACCTGCCTGCTGCTGTGTCTGACTTTCCTCGGGAGGACTAATTAGCTGCCCTGCCATTGGAATAGCACCACGGAGTGGACTGATGTCCTCAGAGGCAGCGGAGTGGATAATGCTGGCGGGGCCTGGTTCTTTCATAGGCCAGGCTGCTTTGGAGGTGCAAGGGCTTTGGGAATGGATCCCTGAGAATAACCCTTCTGCAGTGGGCTCTCCCAGCCTCCCTGAGCTCATCCAACAAGGCCTCTCCCCTGCTTTTCAGGCCTGTTACAGGCCCACTTCCTGCAGTGCATTTGTAGGTTCTTGCAGAGGGTTGTGCAGCCAGACTCAGGGTATGTCTACACTACCCCGCTAGTTCGAACTAGTGGGGTAATGTAGGAATACCGCACTTGCAAATGAAGCCCGGGATTTGAATTTCCCGGGCTTCATTTGCATAAGCGGGGCGCCGCCATTTTTAAAACCCCGCTCATTCGAACCCCGTGCAGCGCGGCTACACGGGGCACGAACTAGGTAGTTCGAACTAGGCTTCCTAGTTCAAACTACCGTTACTCCTCATTCCACGATGCGCAAAAAGCATCTGCTCATTCATTATGCAAATAAGGCTCGGTGATATTCCACATTTAGCCTCATTTGCATATTTCTTGCGCAAAATCAGCGCAGTGTAGACATAGCCTGAGACTATAGTTGAAATAACAACTCCCAAAATAACTATTTTGAGATGGCATGTCCACATTACAGGGAAGCCTTGAAAGTAGTCCAAGGCAGGCTCCCTTATTGAAGACATGCTACCTTGACTTAGAGCCTCAGGAAGCACTTGGGAGTAATTCTTTTGAATGACTCTTTGGAGTCGTTATTTCAAAATAACAGCAGCTGAGCATCCACTTGCACCCTATTTCAAAATAACTATTTCGAAATAGACGTTATTCTTTGTGAAACGAGGGTTTATTATTCTGGAATAAGAAGCCTGTTATTCTGCCTGTACAACAGGCTTGTTCGCTCATGAAGCTGGGCAGTAAGTAAAGCTAATTGTGCAGCCAGTGGGGGTGGAGCTGCATGACCCAGGGACCGGGGCAGCAGCTATCTTTGCCTCACTATGCTGCAATTAAAGACCCTCGTGCCGGCTGACTCGGGATTACAGGGCTCAGGCTAAGGGGCAGTGTAATTGCAGGGTTAACATTTCAGGCTCTAGGACCCTGAACATCTATACTGCAATTAAACAATCAGCTGGTAGGAGTGTCTAACCACCATGAAGACTTACCCTTCCTCAAGTCTAGCTCAGGCTGGAAGCAACCATGTTCTCAAATGGCTCAGGCAGGTTAGCAGAGCACCCAACACCCAGTCTGGGGACCTAGAACTGCACCATCAAATCACATGTTCTTGTAGCTCCAACAGGCAGAACTGAACCTGGTTCCTCTGGAGCTTAGCGCATGAGCCTCTACAGCCTGAGCCAAAATCAGGCTGTAGAGATCACTCATTCGTGCTCTCTCTTTCAGTGGTCTATGACTGGGCGGGCTGATTTTCAGCTGTGAAGCTGTGCTGCCCTGCAGCTTAGAGGGAACACTGACCCCCACCCTAATTCTCTGCATCCCAGTGGCTATCAGATCCAGGCCAGCCCCAGACACAAGGGGCTCTAGCAGTGACAGGGAGGGAGGTGGAGAATGTCATTAGAGGGCAGACCTACTGTCCCCAGAAGCTCCCCATGCTGACAGAGATTGAATAGCTGAGCAGGGCTGTAACCAAAATAGTTCAGTGACTCTTACTCCCACCTAATGATCTCGTTGGTGAAGTGGTGGGACAGAGATGCCCTTCAAAGGTCAGATATCCCTGTCCCTGAAACTCTCCCAGCAGGTGAAAGGAGGGGGGGACCTGAGGCTCTACCCCATATAAAAGTTAGACCCTCAAGGCAACTATATGTGACTTTTAACGCTAAGACTGCCCAGCAAAGCACTTTCCAGTGTCTATCCAGAACACTATGGGTACGTCTAGACTACATCCCGCTTTCGAAAGAGGGAAGTAAATGAGACATATCAAAATTGCAAATGAAGCTGGGATTTGAATTTCCCATGCTTCATTTGCATAACCGCATCACGGCGTTCTTTCGAAAACAGCTATTTTGAAAGTGAAACTGCAGTCTAGATGCAGTTCTTTCGGAAAGAAAAGCCTTTTTCAAAAGAGTACAGGGATGGCAGCCGGGACTCCAGGCCCAGAGCCAGCAGCAGTATTCTTTTGCTGTGGTGATAACTAGATGCGCAGAGCCAACAGCAGAGCCCATGCATGGCACATGGGAAGGCAGCCAGGATCCTGGGTGCTAGATTGGGAACTCAAGGTGCTACAGCACCTCCCGCACCTCTAGTTCCTGTGCCTATGGCAATGCCTGTGTAACACTGAGGCTATGTCTACCCTGTGCTGGTTTTGCACAGGAAATATGCAAATGAGGCCAAGTGTGGAATATTGCCGAGCCTCATTTGCATAATTAATGAGCCGCCACTTTTTGCGCAAGAGCCTGAAAAAAATGCGGAAGAACGGCTCTTGCACAAGAGGGGTTTTTTTGCACAAGAAGGAGCCATGTAGACGGCTCCTTTTTGCGCAAAAGCCTCTTGCGCAAAAAGCATCTGCTCATTCATTATGCAAATGAGGCTCAGCGATATTCCACATTTAGCCTCATTTGCATATTTCTTGCGCAAAATCAGCGCAGTGTAGACATAGCCTGAGACTATAGTTGAAATAACAACTCCCAAAATAACTATTTTGAGATGGCATGTCCACATTACAGGGAAGCCTTGAAAGTAGTCCAAGGCAGGCTCCCTTATTGAAGACATGCTACCTTGACTTAGAGCCTCAGGAAGCACTTGGGAGTAATTATTTTGAATGACTCTTTGGAGTCGTTATTTCAAAATAACAGCAGCTGAGCATCCACTTGCACCCTATTTCAAAATAACTATTTTGAAATAGACGTTATTCTTTGTGAAACGAGGGTTTATTATTCTGGAATAAGAAGCCTGTTATTTTGCAATTATTTCAAAATAACGGGCTTTCTGTGTGGACACTAACCTGTGTGGACACTCACTATTTAGAAATAACGCTGTGGTGCAGACGTGCCCTGAGAAACCCTGGTCATTGTCAGCTAGGATTGTATCTGGCCTCTCAGGAGTTTAATGCATAAGCCACAAGATGCCTAGCTCTTAGCCAAGGCTTCAGCAGACTCATCAGTCTCTGATGGTGTAGGTGTAGCTGTTGCTAGAAGGGGGCAGACTGTCACACTGACCAGCCTGGGTTACACTGCACTGCTATTCTCAGGTCGCTCCCCCTAGAAAAACTGGTGCTAGAGATTACTTCTAATTCTCAATGCAGAAGAGACTCCAGGGAAAGTGCTTCTAGCCCAGAAGCAGCTGAGCCCCACTTGCTGATGTCAGCAGCTATTTTTCAGCCTTGTCCTGGTTTGTTAAAGCATTTTCTTCCCTCTTCAACAGGAGAGCTCCCCTTCCCTGCAGGAGAAAGTCAGGCATGCTGAAGTGTTGCTAGCAATTCTGACTGTACCCATAATCCTTTGCTGTCTCATAGCATTACCCCCAGAGGGCGTTGGCCTGAAAACAAAACAGGAACCGCACCACCCGGGGATTCAAGGACCCAGATCCTGGTAGCACCCACTGACTCCAGTGGGAGTTCATGCTGAGATACATCTGAGGATATAGGCCCAAGTGCACAAATGTGGTTGCACCGCAGAAGCCAGGCTGTAGTCCCTGCTATTGCTGGGTGAAAAAAAAGAAGGGGGGTGGGAAACAGTCTTTCCATTTTTAAACTTTCCCACTAGAAAAGGAGGGGAATGTTGACAGACAAACAGTAAAGGATTTCCCCCCCACCCAAATGAAATGTTTCCAAGAACTTCAACAGCTTTTGTCTTGAAATCTTTTTTGGAACCTGAAAAATAGCAACTGAAATTGGGTGGAAATTTCCCGTTTTGAATGAAGGGGCATTTACCATGGAAAATGTTTTAAAAACGGGGAGGAGAACAATTTGTGAACCTCTCTAGCCTCGGGGAGCTTCGGAGGGAAGGGTGACTTACCGTTAGCACCCCCTAGTGGGAGGGAGTTAGCTGCACACAAAGAAAAATCACGACTGTTCTTTGTGGCGAATGCCCAGTCATGCTTTGGCAGCTGTTTTACAAGCTCCTGTGTAATTTCTGCCCACCGGCAATTGTGTCTCCAGCTGGTGAAGACAGCAGAGCTGGATCCTAGTAAGAACTACTTGTTCGGCTTCCATCCCCATGGCGTCCTGGTGGCTGGTGCCTTCGTCAATTTCTGCACCGAAGCAACGGGGTTTTCGCAGCTGTTCCCCGGGATAACCCCTCACGTCATGATGCTGAACCTCTGGTTCAGAGCGCCCTTCTTCAGAGACTATCTGCTGAGCGGAGGTAAGCAAGGCCGTAGTGCGGGAGCAGGGTATGAGTAGCCCCTCTAAGTGGCAGTGATAGTGACAGATAGGTCCTTGGAGTCACACTGGGGAGTCTATTCCTTGTTTGGGTTCCTATGTGCTTTGCCATAAGCATGCACACAGTCCAGGATTGGAGGGGACACAGAAGAAAAGCTCTGCTGGAGGAACAATCAGACCTTTAAAGGCTCTGACCTTCCTTCTCTCCTCTCCCCACGTTATTGGTTTAACTTTTCATGTTATATACTGTATTGTCTGTGTTACCGCAGCACTCAGGGTATGTCTAGACTACATGGCTCCATTGACGGAGCCATGTAGATGAGTTTACTAGACATAGGAAAATGAAGCATCTATTTAAATAATCGCCGCTTCATTTACATAAAAATGGCCGCCGCGCTATGTGCCCCGGTAAACCTCAGGGACAGTGGGGCAGTGTGGACGCGCCGCAGTCAACAATGGAAGCCTTTGCCGACTGCCCCGGTAAACCTCATTCTACGAGGCATAACAGAGATGTCAACAAAGGCTTCCCTTGTTGACTGCGGAGCGTCCAGACTACCCCGCTGTGCCAATCAGCTGATCGTCGGCACAGTGCGGCGGCCATTTTGATGTAAATGAAGCAGCAATTATTTAAATCGCAGCTTCATTTTGCTATGTCTAGTAAACTCATCTACATGGCTCCGTTGATGGAGCCATGTAGTCTAGACATATCCTCAGAGTCCTCAGTCCAGGCCCCATTGTGCTAGGTGCTGTACAAACAGATCATGCAAAAAAACTATCTGAAGAACTTACAGTCTAAATAGGCAAGACAAAGACTCCAATTTTGCAGAGGGGGAGCAGAAGCACAGTGGGGTTAAGTGACTTGCCCATGGTCACAGAGGGAATCTGTGACAGAACAAGGATTTGCCCCTCCCATCTGTGAGTCCCAGCCAAGTGTCTCAGCTACGAGACGACTCTGTCCGTGTGTTGCTTGTTATGCGAAACAGTGAAAGAAAAGCCAACAAGACCTGACACAATCGCATCCACTCTCAAAGCTGAGGACATCGCTGCGTCACTTCTGCTGATTTCAAAGGGCAAACTAAATCCCCCACGTGCTGGCTGCAGAATTCAATTCTTTTATGTCCAAATGGCACATAGTGAGAACTTGCCCTTACTATGAAAGGGGGTGAAAAACGTCTTCTCTGCTGCTGCTGCTTTTACAAAGAAACTACTGCCAGGGAGAAACAAAGCAAATAACAAACCATCATACAGCAGAAGTAGCTCCCAATCGACAAGTCACATCTACACTAAAAAACACCGGCCCAGTAACAAGTCTCATCTAACCGAGGTGCTCGCTCCAGGGCTAAAAAGAGCACTGGAGACATTCCCACTGGATGGAGGGGGAAAGGGACCATTTTTAGCCCTGCAGCATGAGCCGTGTCAGTTCAATGGGGCTCTGAGACTCACTGCCACGAGCTATAACTAAGCTTTTTAGCACCTGGAAAATATTTGTGCTTTCTCCCATTTTTTGGTCATTTTTCTGTCTCCCTGGCTTTGCTCCCTGGACAGCTGCCCTGCTTGTCCCGCCTTGGTTACAGTCCTGCTTTTCAGCCTATTCCTTTGACTGACGCTGCCTGTTCTCTCTAAGAATCATGCAAGTATTTTTTTTCCACCATGATGCCTCCTGCATCAGGAACAGTCTTTTTGACCACATCTGCCAAACACCTTCACTCACTTCTAAGTCCCTGCTTAAAACCCATTTCCCCAGGCAGTCACTTCCCCTTATTCCTCCCCATTAGTAACCCCAATCCTCTGCAGAGGTAGGACCCCAGGCAGGGGAGGTGACAACTTCCACGGGGCCCTGGGTAAGGTGTGTCGGGCCCGTCTCTGTGCTCCCAAAAGGGTCAGGGCCTCGGGTGGAAGAAGCAGGCCGGGGCGACTAGCCCTTAGCGCCCCCAGACCACAGCACACCCCACCCTCTAACACTCAGAGCCGCACAGAGCATGTCACATGGGGCTCAAGCAGCAATTTAACAGTGGCAGCAGTAACGGGTGGGAGCCCTGAGGCCCTTTGAAATCTCTGGGCGCCATGGCAACTGCCTACTCTGCTCCCCCCTCCACACACACACACACACACACACACACACACACACACACACACACACACACACACACTGGCAGGCCAGGCTCCAGATCTTGCCTCTGTTTTGCTTTGTCTTATTTAAACTGGAGATTTTTCAAGGCTGGGAATGGGCTTTATCTACGTCGGCAAGGGTCCTCATTTGAGGGATATCACTCCTTCTATCACCAGTCACCACACGCCATGCATTGTGGTGCCCACACTTCTGTTGTTGAGAAATCATTTACATCAGTGAGACAGAAACGTGACCTCGACGTCACAGAGAAAGGGACAGATCCCATGCATGTTACATCTCCTGCACGGGCCCCAGGCCCTGGGTCACTGTCATAGGTAGAGCCCAGGTTCCCTAAAAGAGACCATCTCACCCTGTGACTGTCCCCCTTTGGGGGCTTGTGGGGCTGGAAAGGGCTGTCTCAGCTCCTGGTGCTATAGAAGAGAGGAGGAGGAAGTGCCTTCAAGCACCTTGGTGGAGCTCTTCAAGTAGTGATGTGTGAATGACTGGCCCCTGGTAAGTGAGGCTCTTAGTGTCAAATGTCTCTTCTTATCTCTGCACCACCCAGGCCTCATCCCGTCAGACAAAGACAGCGCTTCCTACGTGCTGAGGAGAAAGGGAGGTGGGAACATGCTGACCATTGTGGTGGGAGGGGCCCAGGAGGCCCTGGATGCGCGGCCTGGAGCCTTCACCCTACTGCTGAAAAACCGAAAGGGGTTCGTCCGAGTGGCCATCGAGCACGGGTACTGCTGTGAGCCCTGTCGCTGCTCCCAGGCCTACACCTGAGCAAAGGGGGGGTGGAGGGAGGCAGGGAAACAAGGCCACTTTGGCTCCCCTTGCTAGAGGAGAAGAGGGCAGCCTGCTGTCAGGGCCATTCCCCTTCTAGTTCCATTGCCGCAAGGAGAGCTGGGCCTGAGAGGACCTGGACTCATGCTGGACAGGGTACCTCTAACGGCCAGCTCCAAAGCCTGATGACATTGGTGGGAATCTCTCCATTGACTTCAGTGGGCGTTAGCACCAGGCCCCAAGTGGCCATTGGCTTTGCTTATGCTTAAGGCCAGCATTGTGTTCTGAAAACACTCCCTAGACAGCCCTGCCCGGCACCTGTGGGAAGGGGCAGCTTGCCTGCTCTGAGCAAGGTGGGGACCCCTTTGATAGGCTCGCAGGGCCGCTGCACGCCAGCACGTGCTCTTGCAGAGCTGCTCTCCCAGAGGAGGCCTGGCGGCGGCAGAGCCTTCACCGTAGCTCCTGTCCAGTGGCAGCGCCGGGGGCTTTTGCTCGGGCCC